GTTCGGAATAGTGTTTAATATTGCATATATATATATATATATATATATATATATATGTTATTAGTGTATGCGTATATTGATCGATTGATTTTTGTTTACAATGGACTCTGTGCAAGTATGTTAAAATTGATTTTGTAGATGCATTTAATAATGTCTTTGCCCTGTAAGCAGCTGACGAGAAGGTAACGAAATAAACAATGATGGTACCATTTTATTCTGCTAAAACTGTAGTTTTTGCTTAGTCTTTTTTGTTGGCAAACTACTTAATCTTGTATTTCAGTAGTATAAATATCATTTATAAAAACTATTTTTCGTTTCACTTAGAATTATTCTTTTCTAAGTATATTTGATTCAGTATTTATTTAGTCTTTTATAATCAGCTTTTATAATCAACTACTCATCGCTTATCATTGGGATTCCACTCGAGCAATGGCCTGGCATGCGGTATCATTCGGTGACCTCCTCAGTGTATGCCCCATCGATCTCCACTTTCTCCTATACATTTGTTGAGCGATCAGCTCTTGCTTGTTGGTTTGTTCCCACAGTTTCTTGTTGCTTATTCTTTCTGGCTGGCCATTTGGTCTTCAGGATGTAGCCGGTGAAGGCAGCTGTTGATGAAGGTCTGCAAACTATTGCAAATCCTTTTCGTGACACGCCTACCAAGTTTCTGACCTGTATAGAAGGACCGACTTGACATTGGTGTTGAAAATGCGAATCTTGTTCCTTATGCTGAGTGTATATTTCCGAACTGGTTTCAGGTTGATGAAGGTTTATCTGGCTGGCTTTGACATCTTCATCCGTTCCACCGGCCTGTAGTTGAAACTATGCTTCCCAGATAAGTGAAGGAGTTTACCTCTGTTAAGTCTCTCCCGTTGATGGCGATTAGTGCTGGTTGTTGTTGCTGTTGATTTTTTATCTTCATCCCCTCCATCTTTACTTTGTTAACTTGAAGTCCTGTCTTGGCTGTCAGCCTCTTCAGCCAGTTTGTTGGTTTTCGCCTGTATGTCTTCGATTTTTTGTGTATCACATTAAACACAAATCATATGAGCAATCCAGATCTTCTAGAGTCTTCTTATCGGCCGTCCAGCGTATTCCTGACTTCTCGCCCCTAACAGTTTGATGCATAATCCAGTCCACCACAATTACGAATATCATCGGTGATAATAGGCATCCAGCTTGTCTTACCCCTGTATGCCCTTCGAACGCCTCACTGAGTTTTACATCGTGGATCACCTGACACGTGGCACTGTCATATAGCCAGCTGTTGAATGAGGTCGACAAAGATTTGAGGTACTCCGTAGTGTTGGAGTAGTTTCCAAATTACTGCCCGGTCTACTCTGTAGAAGGCTTTTCGAAGTCGATGAAGTTGAGGTGGAGTGAGGTTTGACTGCCATTCTATGGTTTGTTCGATGACGATGCGTAGAGCTGCAATAAAAGGAGCTTAATTGTTGCAATATGTATAAAAACGCTGAAAATTCTATTCTATATGATTACTATTGTTTGCACAAAATGAATATATATATATATGTGTACTACTAATTGTTTGGCATAAGTAGATGGACAGCACTCACATCAACCAGCAATATTCTTTAGCCCACATAGAAGTAATCTAAACATTAAACAGCCAATTTTCATCACTTAAAGCCAATCTCACTGACCATGTGTTTATCCAGTTAGACTGATTTCAGACAGCGAAATCACTTCCAATCACTCGAATTTCTGACTCACTACTTACGGGAGTTGTAAGTAATACAGAGAATCAAATTTGTGATTTTTTTCAAAAATTCATCATATAATCCACTGGTGGATGAATTCTAACCAATCAAATCCTTGCAAATAAACACTTGAAAATTAACCAATCAGATTCATTTGTTAACATTATAACAGAAATCACAGACGTGTAAAAAATCAAATAAATGACGGTTTCACCTTAATAAATTCGGTGACAAAGTGTTATTTTCCATTTTTCTTTCATGTAATTGATACAATCGTATGAAGAGACATGTGTACATGTGTCACAGGGTATGTGTTATGTGCACTAGAAGAACAAGAAAAAGAAGTGAAATAAGGTCGATATCCGTTTTTACACACACACAAGAGAATGAATAAATATAGTCGTTGACAGGAATTTTTCACTCCTTCTTTACGCAATCAATCACCATAACTGTTTAACTTCATTTTATGCGAGTACACATTTTGATGAAAGGTTGATTTTCAGTACATCAACTGATGATGTGTATAACAAGCCAGGTTTTATTTGGGTTGAATACTAGTTAGTGACTAGTGTGATGTGTCTAGTCCTATCTTTGGTGCAGACTGAACTCTATCAGTCAAGTTTGCAATGTGACCACCATACCACTAAGTGGGTCACCATCACGATGCACTGTGAATTGTTGGTATAAGATGGTTGGAGGCAATCGGCCACAGGAAGCCCAGTTTGTAGCACTAGGTTTGACATAGCACTACGACTATCCATAAGGTTTCGTCCTCCTCTCACATGATATCTTCCGATGTTACTCTTGAAGCGTCGTTCAGCTAGTTGCTTCCCATAACTGACTGGTTTCAACGTAGAACTATGCACACATGTGCAACAGTTCAACTTGCCACACTCCCTCCACGTAGCACACAAAGCCAGAGAAGAGAGTAAAGACAGATTCAAAAGAGAGAGAAGTTTGATTGAGGGAAGAAGAATTGTAGCAGTATGGAAGACCAAGAGAATAGAATTATCATTAAGAGTGGATGCATCTACCCTAGTCATTGACAACTATTTTGAGCCATATCACCAATAATTGTCCCCAACCATTGATGTTTACTGTCCCGAGGACCCAAACCAGGAAGTCTACACTTCCCTACATGGCTGCTTCGCTTAAACTAAGTGTTGTGGATTTCATTGACTGATGAAGCCATGTTTTCGTCTGACCACCATGTGCTAGCTTTTCTCCAACCTGAACCATCCTATGTCAGCTAACAATGCCAGTCTTCGAGGAAGCCAACCTATGGCTAGGCATGCATGCGTAACACATTTCTTAATCACCTCTCTCTCAATCGATCTCACTTCACAACTTCGTCGATTGATCTCCACTCTCACTTACCTAACACTTGACGGGTGCCTAACACCAATATTACTCACTTCATTATACCACCACCTAACACGGGAGACACCTATGATCAAAAACAGCTAGTTAGTCTGTCTTTTCATGTCTTCCACTCTCAATGGAAAAGTCTTACTCACACCCATAAAGCAGGACTGAGCGAACTGCTGAACAGTACACACTCCCTCTGGTTAACAGCCAGCCGGATATCACGTATACTAATCCAGAAGTGGAGTAAATTGTGGGCATTTGCCCAAACGGCCTTCAGTATCCGCTCCGACATTTCGTCAGCGACCAGTCAGCTGTGCCTGTCTGATGCAACTTCCATTTTACTTCTATTCGGTAAAGAATTCAGTGCCTACAGAAATGACCCGCAACTGATGTGCTTCGAACAGTTTAATTAGGATAGTTTTACGCTATTGTTAATCTTGCCTTACCGTGGTAAATACACTTAACTCTATTTAATTGTTTTATTTTTGTTAATTTTGTTTTGACAGGGTAATTTCTTATCCCAATCTCGTCTTTTTATCTATATTCTTCACTGGACCCCATTTTGACCTTTATTCATCGACATTTGTCTTTAAAAAATACTTTTCCCGGGCTTTAAAGTTTCTCCACTCCACCTCAGAAGGACGAATAAAATTTGGATTTTTAGCACCGATGTCATGTCAGTTTTCTTGTATGACTCAGAAACTTAGCGCGCCAACAAAAGCATTTCTAACAAGCTGTAGACTTTTATCATCATCAACAGCTGCCCCCTTCGCTGGCTACACACTGAAGACCAGATGGCTGGTCAGAGAGGATGAAATTCAAAGAAACTCTGTCAATAAATCAACCAAGAACCTACTGCTCAATAAAAATGCCGGTGAAAATGGAGATGGATTGGTCACACACTGAGGAGACCATCGAATGACAGCCGGTGCTCCAGTGCAGCCCAAATGGGAAACGATTAGTCGGGTGATAGTCCGAGAGTGACATGGAGGAGATCATGTGGCGAGGAGAAGGAGGAAGCGATGAGAGATTATGGGCAATTGTGGAGCTAACCAGCTAAAGAGAACCGCAGAGAACATCAAAAAGTGGATTGCTTAAAAAAGACTATGTCATACTTCGTAGATCTCTAAAGACTGTCAGCAGAACGAGTGGTATCCCGTTGGGCCATATCGTTGGCATTGTCACCGATAGGCATTTGATGTCATGCAAAAAATTCGCTAAAGGAATTTTGTCAGACTCTGAGCATCCACTCTACCAGCAGCTCCAACCTTGTGTCTCCTCAGGTAAAACAGAAAGTCTTTTCAGAAGACTTTATGCACGTACGTCTAAGTATAAAAATTCCACTACACCATATTTGACGGCACGTACTTTATGTGATGAAAATAGTGTCAGGCATGAACTAACTAACCTTCTTTGCACCACTAAATAGACCATTTCCTTCAACCTTAAAGCATCATACTTTATTGTTATTGTATTTCTTATATTTATAATCCTCTCAATTTTTTCGTTTTGTTTATTTTATTTTTCATAAGTGTGGACATAATTTTAAGCTGTATTATGACTGTTAACTCTGTATTTCCCCTCACCCTACTATATCAAGAGAACATTAGATTCACTAATCTATAACATGCTAAAGTTTCCAAACTGAATCGACAATACCGTTTGAAACAAACTCACTGTTATTATTGTTATTATTATTATTGTTATATCTAATAATTATGTCGTAAATGTGGACAAATTCCTCCCATTAATTTTTGTTTTAATTTTTAATTTTATTTATATTTTGAGTAAATCAGATGCAATATTATGACAAATACTGAGAATTCCATTCTGTATTATAAGTAGTGCTGTTTTTGGAATAAAGTAAATTATTATTATTATTATGTGCTGTTGAAGCCCATTCTGTTTCACTCAGAACCCAAGCGAAGAATAATAATACAATAATAGCTTATAATACAAATTCTATTGTAATGTATATATATACAATACATGAGTGAAAAATCTCCAAAAAAAGTTAACCAGTTATTTTGCCATCAATTAGTACATCTGAAAAGAGAACTTCTGTTGTCAGGGCATTTTGATTATATTCATAAGCTGTTGTAGGCGTATATCTCCATTTTCTTATAGCTCGATCAACTGTACGATGAGCTAAACAATCTCCGTTGAGTAGAATTTCAGCATTTCGACATTGGCCGATTTTAGAGACTATAAGATGAAATAATGAACCAATCTTTGGAACAATAATCAGAGGTACAGTAGCAGGAGCAGCAGCACAAGAAGAAGAAGAAGCAGATAATTCTTTTGATGATGTTGAAGAAGCCAATGAAAATGTATTCTTTGTCTCCATGACAACAATACCTTCTACACCAGCCTGGAAAAAAAAGAACAGAAAACAGTAAAATAAAAGAAATAATTTTCAAGTATTGGTTTTGTAGGGATTTGGTTTCGTTTGATTGCATGGAGGATTTCATCATGAGCTGACATCAGTCAGAGAACCACCGGGGTTCGAACCCAGGACCTTCCGGTTACTGATGAAGAGTCCCAAACTAGGACGAAACAGCTGCCCAGTACTCCCAGGTTTTCCAGTGGTTTTCTAACTGATGTCAGCTCATGATGAAATCCTCCATGCAATCAAACAAAAAAGAAATAATGAGTAATATATTTGATGATATTAGATGGTTGAAGGCGATCGACCACAGGAAGCCTTGGACCTAGGTTTCGTGCTAGTTGGCACTCGTCAGCAAGGCAGGCGTGTCTGCAACTTTATAAATGTGGACAAATTCCTCTGGTTAGTTTTGTTTTAATTTTATTTATATTTTGAGTAAATTAGATGCAATATTGTGACAAATGCTGAGAATTCCATTCTGTATTATAAGTACTGTTTTTGGAATAAAGTAGATTATTTTAATATTATTATTACGTCCCTTGTGAGATTCGAACCCGCGTCACTAGCCAGTGCTGCAGTCACAGACGTTACCACTGAGCTATTCGGGCTCGCGATTGACCTCCTGTAGGACTGTAGTGGATATTTTGATTGGACACTCACCAGGAACTACTGCGATGTGTCTAGTCCCTTCTTTGGTGCAGACTGAATTCTATCAGTAAGCAAATAAGCGTCGGTGGCGGAGTGATAAAATATTCGCAAGCCGTGCAGGTAGTCCGGGTTCAATTCTCAGTCGATGTATCCGCAAAGCTAACTCACTAGGTGACCACCTGGTACAGCCGAGGGTGGGGAGATTTCTCTCCTCCTTCCGAAATGCTTCCAAGCAGCCAGCCTCTGCGAGGCGTTTCCTATTGACTGCCTTCATGCGGCCACAGCGCGTTCCTCATAAAAGGGTGAATGGGCGAATACGAATGTCTGATGCTTACAAATGCGGATTGGTGTGGACATGCAAAGTCCATTTAGGGGAGCTGAAGGAGACTAATTCCAAATCTACGATTTTTGTAAATGGGATACAGAATCCGATTGGGTCGAATGGACTATAAACCTGTTTTCGTCGCTTGCAACCATGGAAATGCAGCTCTTGGCGCTGTTGCATTGACTTGTGTATCAGATTTCAAGTCAAAGACTCGGGGGTGGGTGTTGTGGTTCCACAAGGAGACAACCACCCAATTCGGCGTCCTGAGCATCTTGGGTAGTGCCCCAGCTCTCACACAAACCATGAGATTTTGTGCGGTGTACATCTCTTGGTGTACGTAATGCATCAACTTTGTATTCTGATAATAATAAACCCAAAAGAAAGAGGTAAGGTTGGGTATGAGGTTACTAACTCCCACCTCCGCACCTTGTGAAAAGATAGAAAACATTACCACTATTTTTTGACTGGACACTAGTCAGTAAGTGGTGTAATGTGTCTAGTCCTATCATTTTTGGTGCAGACTGAACTCTATCAGTCAAGTTTGAAATATGGCTCACCATCACGATGCACTTTGAATTGTTGGTATTAGATGGTTGGAGGCAATCGGCTACAGGAAGCCTTGCCAGAACGTACCTAGGTTTCGTGCTAGTTGGCACTCACCAGTCAGTCAGTCAGTCAGCAAGGCAGGCGTATTTGCAACCTTGAAGGAACTCATGTCAGGCCATCGGTTGAGTTAAATCCCAAAGAGACAGCGACGAGTAGGTCATCTGAGGGTGACATGGAGGAGATCGTGTGTGCAAGAGGAGATGAGAGAATATGAGTAATCGTGGGATCAGTTAAAGAGTAGAGATTCTGCACAAACCACACTGTTGTTCTTGCTTTATTCAAATTCATTTTAAGGGGAATAAATGCATGAAGTTTCTTTAAAAAAAAGTGTTGGTTTGTAGGGAATTGATTAGATTGGTTACAGGATTTCATCATGATCTGACATCAGTTAGAGAACCAATGGAAAACCAGCCATGAGTACTGAGCAGACAGCTGTTTCATCAGCCTAGTTTGCGATTGTTCATCAGTACACACCCACCCACCACCGAGGTTCGAACCCAGGACCTTCCACTTACAAGGCTAGCGAGCTCGTAGACCATTCATCAGCAGCCACTGGGACCCAATTCTCAACGGTCCATGAATTCCAACTTCTGCCAGTTTCTAGGAAGTTGTTACCATCTATGACATCAGCTAGTGCCAATCGCGCTATATGGTAAAAATTAGCGGAAGTTGGAATTCATGGATTGGTCATCAGATCGGTTCCCAGTGGCTTAATAGTATTACGAGCTCGCTAGCCTTATAACCAGAAGGTCCTGGGTTCAAATCTCAATGGGTGAGTGCTGATGAAATGCCGCAAACTAGGTTGACGAAACAGCTGGTTGTCCAGTACTCCAGTGCTGGTTTTCCAACGGTCGTCCTCCAACTGATGAGACAGTTCATGATGAAATCATTAAAAACGGTCAGTCGGTTTTCGACATAGAACTTTGTACATATGTGCGGCAGTTCAAGCCGCCACATTCCATGTACCACACAAAGCAAGAGAAGAAAGTAGAAGAAATGCATATTAGAGACAGTAAACAGAGGTGTGAGACAAAGGAATATTAATAACGAAGAACAAAACAGTTTCATTGGAAATCATGAGTCACAAGGAGTGGATGCATCTGCGCCATCACTGAGAACAATTTTGAGCCATGTCACCAATTGTGTCCAACCATCGGTTTTTACCGTCCCGAGGACTCCAACCAGCCAAAAAGTCTACACCTTCTTACGTGGACTAGACTAACTGTTGTAGATTTCATTGACTGGTGTCATGTTTCGGTTTGACCACAGCTAGCTCTTTTCCAGCCTGGGCCTATATCAGCTAACATTGCCCGTCGAGGAAGGTGATGACAAGGCATACGTAGCACATGTCCTAACCATCTTAGTCGATGTAACTCTGCAGTCTCATCGACTGATTTCCCCGCCTTACCTAGCACTCGACGCCTAACCTCAATATTGCTCACCTTATCATACCACTTCACGCGGGAGATAGAACGCAGACACCTATGATCAAAGACAGCTAATCATAAAAGACAAAAAGAGTATTACACCTACCCGACACGATTTCGAGCGTAAAACTTTAAGTTTCGCTCCAATAAGATTAAGACGTAGAATTGTCTCCAAATTATTTACAACACCCGCATGTGAATTATTCATCATTCCAGTTAGTTGTGACGTGTTGACAACACTTCCAAAATAACCTTTCCATAAATTATGCAATTTTAAAGGCAAATCAGATGATACAGTTGACGGCATGTTCATAATCGACTTCAGTAGAGATTTCCTCTGCTTCTTCTTCTCTACCCCGCCTTTGACAACTGGATGCTTCACTGTAGTCCAATGACAATCATCATCACTGGCAAACTTATCCCATTTTTTACGTTTAATAATTTCTGTAGGTTGAGGTAAAAGATTAATATTATAACTGTTGTTAGATCCTGGACGCCAAAATAAATCCGACTGGTGACGTCGACTTGTTATCACATGACGTCGGACAAAGTCGCGGACAAATTCACTGACAACAGTAACTTCTTCGTTGGAAACAACAACTTTAGCTGAACTTGTCTTGGGAGTTTTTCTGTCCGGGACGCTGTCTTTTTTTCGAGGCATTTTTGGAGCCTTTTTCTTTGACATGTTGATCAGGTGAAATCAATCTGTTGTGTGAAAAACAAAAATGAAAGAAAAAAAGTGATAATAATAATTTGCTTTATTCCAAAACAGTACATGTGATACTGAATGGAATTCTCAGCATTTTTACTACAGTATTGCATCCAGTTAGTACATTATCAATAAATAAAATTCTACATAGATTAAGGAAATCTCAGTTCATTATGAAAACAACATATCGGCATGTCGGTAGCAAAGTCAAAGTTGAACAGAATGTTTGAAGGTGTTAGAAAAGTAGGTGCTATCATATTTACTAACGTAAGCGGAAGAAAGAAACAAAGCAGCAGATAGGATGACACCTAGGTATTTAATTTCCGACTTGGTTTCTATTTCAGTGCCATCTATGTTGCACACTTCGAGAGAGCTAACCAGTTTGTTTAGGTCAGATTTATGCCTAAAAAGGTGAAATTGACTGTTTAGCATGTTTGGCGTGGTTTAAGGTAAGACCGTTTTCCTTGGACCACTCACTGGCTGATTTCTGATAGAAAGCCATTAAGTTTAGAGCAGTCACTTTGACATTTGACAGGCAATGATACAGTAGTCAGGTCGTCAGCATATTTGACAAAATTGATGTCATTTGAAGATGGTAAGTCATGTAGAAAGAAAAGAGAAGTGGGGAGAGTACAGCACCTTGGGGGACACCAGCTTCAGTGAGCACACCAGAGGAGGATCTTATCATCAATCAAAGTGGAATGCGAAAACTGAAAAATAACCAGCGCCGCAACTTGGAACTAATTCTAATAGACACATTATATACTGTACTCGTTAATATCAGTAGTTAAACAGCACTCATGTTAAACTGACTGGTTTCAACGTACAGCATTGCACGCACAGGTGTGTGCAACAGTTCCAGTTGCCACACTCCATGTCCATGTAGCACACACAAAGCAAAAGACGAAAGTAGAAGAAATGCAAAATAGAGACAGTAGACAGGGATATGAGACAAAAGGAATAGTAATAACGAAGAAGAATACAGTTTCATTGGAAATTATAAGTCACAAGGAGTGGATTCATCTGCGCCAGCCATCGCTGAGAACGATTTTGGGCCATATCACCGACAATTGTCTCCAGTCTTTATTGGTTTAAACCGTCCCGATGACCCCAACAAGCCAGTTAGGAAGCCTACACCTCCCCCTTCATGGCTTGCTGACTGGTTAGATTAAACTAACTGTTGTGGATTTCATTGACTGATGAAGCGATGTTGGTTTTCGTTTGACCACCACCAGTGGCTCTTTTCCAACCTGATCCATTCTATGTTAGCTAACATTGCTTGTTGTCGAGGAAGGCGATCGATGGCTAGGGATGCATGCGTGACACATGTCCCAGTGATCTTTCTCACTCGATGCCACTTTACAGTCTCGTCGACTGATTTCGCACCGCCCCTCCGCCGACAAACCTAGCACTCGACCGATACCTAACCAACCAACTCAGTATTGCTCACAGTATTTTACCACCATATCACATGGGAGATAGAACACAGGCACCTTTGATCAAAGACAGCTAGCCAACCTTTTCATGTCTTTCACTCTCAATGACCAGGTCTCACAGCTTTAAACGAGGACGGAGTGGACTGCTGAGAAGTACTCGCGCCCATTGGTCGACAGCTGGCCAGCCAACCGGATATCACGTCTACTCCAGAGACAGCGTAAACTAGCATATGCGAAACTAGCCCTCTGTATCCGTGCTGAGATTTTGTCAAAGATCAACCCGTTGGCGTAGGTTGATGCGATTTCCCACCCAAATAAATGAAGTGGTCAACATGCTCCACCAACCACTTCAGTCCCTATTTCTAAGTTAGGAGTGAGTTAATGTAGTGCAGTCGCATCCAGCAGCATCATCTTACATTTTGCGGGAGCGAAACGCGCGCCAAACATTAGCAGATTGCAGCTCAAGGTGTTTTCAGAAGACTCTGTTCTATTTTGTCAGGGTCTTCACCTAGGAGATAGTACTATATCATCTGCATATTCTAGGTCAACCAGATTATTCCCCCAATGGTAACAAGTCAATCTCTGAGTCGCTGAAGTCACTTAGGGTTAAGTCCATTAGCATGCACATCTATGATGAAATTGAATAGAAATGGGGATAGTGTGATTAGAAAATGTTCTGCCACCAGTGTAAATATCGACTTATTGATTTTCAATACAGAACTTTGCACTAAAATAGAGTCAGTAGTTCAAGTTGCCACACCTGTCATAAAGTCAACAAGCGGATAGACGAAAGAGTCAGAGAAAAAATCGATTCAAAAGAAGTTTATGAAGAGCAGAGACGCAGAAGAGAAAGAATAGTAATACAGAAAAACATAAGGGTTTAATGCATATGAGAGATTACCAAGTGTGAATCAATCTACAGTACTGAGAACGGTTTTGAACCATCTCACAAACACTCCCCCACTCAACTCATTGACTCATAGCCTATCAAGGATCCAGACAAGGCAGTCTACATCTCAACTACGTACCTGGCTTAAACCAATTGTTAAAGACTTTGTGGATTAATGCTAAGTGATGGTTTGACCAGGCCCCCCTAACTCTTTTCCAACCTGGTTCTATGTCAGCGAATATAGCTCGTCGAGGAAAGCTACGGTTAGGCATGCGGAACATGCTTCGTAGCTATCTCAATCGATACAACTTCCCAACCGAATCAATTTATTGACTTCCCCTCCTAACCTAACACTACTTACCATGGTATACCACTTAACACGAAAGATGTTACACAAACATCTGCGATCAAAGACACCTAGTCTTTTTTGCGTCTTCCACTTTCGATGGCTACCATATCTCACAGTCATAAAAAAAGAGGCGGAGAGAATTTCTCCACAGTACACACATCCGTTTGGATCAATAGTCGGATATCACATCACATCTACGTCAGAGTTGGAGTTAGTTGGCAAATGTGTCACTTGAGTTTTCTTTTCAACCACTGTTGAACTTTCATTAGCAATCTATTCATCATTGACACAACATTCCAACTACTTCATATCTTACATTTTGACAGCAGCGAATCACAGGCTTAAAACATTATGGTCAAGGTAGTCAGAAAACTGTGTTTTGTTTCCAGAATTTTCACCTAAAAGAAAAATACATCCGCGCATAGTCTAAGTCGACGAGACTACCTATCCCCTAGGTAATAATTCAATCCACAAGTTGCTAAAGTGAGTTTGGGTTAATTCCATTAGTATATCTATGATGAAATTTTCTAAAAAAAATGGGGACAGGCTCATTCCTGTCGACGACCACCATCTATGGTTCCAATGTGCTGCACAGGACGGAAAAAAGAAGTATTTGAGGTGACTCTAAACTACTGCAGTCCGAAACGAAACTACCTACCTAATGAACACATGAATGACCTTGAGCAACCAGTCAGATGAGTCCATAGTATATAGGCGAATTACGAATTCTGTTCACGAAGTAGGTGGCAAATTTCATCTAAATCTAGTATTGAAGTACCACTTAGACAACAGGCTCATTGGAAAGCAGAAAACGTGTAGTCAATTGTCATCCCTGAACTATACTCGGAAAGTGGTCAGTTATACGGACGATTTCATTAACCATTTCAGTGGAACTCACACAAATCCCAGAGAATCACAGCGGTGAATGGGTCAAGGAACACGATTGTTTGCAGTTACCTCAACGAATTTATATTCGGAAATTGGTTTAACCTAACAAATGAGGACTCCTATAAGGACGCTATCCTGTGTAACAATTTTTATATATAAACTTCTTTTTTTTTCAAATTACGCACTATTTATTACTTTAGACGCATCTGATTGGTCAATAGAGATTTGTCAACGTCTTTATTAGGTAGTTTCGTTTTGCGCTATACTATAGTTTAGAGTAAACGTATTTGAAATTTATCAAGTGAGTAATATTCACGCTAGGCGACGTCGGGCGGTTTTCGACATAGAACTTTGCACATATGTGCGGCAGTTCAAGTCGCCACACTCCATGTAGCAAATGAAGAAATCCATAATATAGACAGTAAACAGAGGTATGAGATAAAGGAGTAGCAATAACGAAGAACAAAACAGTTTCATAAGTCACAAGGAGTGGATGCATCTGAGCCAGCCATTGAGAACGATTTTGAGCCATGTCACCAATTGTTTCCAACCATTGGTTTTTACCGTCCCGAGGATCCCAACCACGAAGTCTACACCTTCCTACGTGGCTTAGACTAAATGTTGTGGATTTCATTGACTGGTGCCATGTTCTCGTTTGACCACCGCTAGCTCTTTCCCAGCCTGACCCTATATCAGTTAACATTGCCCGTCGAGGAAGGCGATGACTAGGCATACGTAACACATATCCTAACCATCTCAGTCGATGTAATTTCACAGTCTCGTCGACGACGTAATTACTTTACGGGTCCCAGTGGCTCAATGGACTACGAGCTCGCTAGCCTTGTAACCAGAAGGTCCTGGGTTCGAACCGCTGTGGTGGATGCGTACTGATGAAGAGTCCCAAACTAGGCTGACGAAACAGCTGTCTGTCCAGTACTCCCTGCAGGTTTTCCAGTGGTTCTCTTACTGATGTCAGCTCATGATGAAATCCTCCATCCAAAGTAATTACTTTGTGTTGCGTAAAACAATGACTTCTAAGTCACTGTAGGCACACACACACACACCATCACTCAAAGAGGATACAGGCACCTACCTTCAGCTGATGATTAATCGTCCTAGAAAGGACGAAATGCGCATGCCCTAGATTTCATTGGTGTTAGTCGGCATTATCAAACATATTGAATAAAAATTTATACACACACACAAATAAATTTCACAGGCATTCATACCAAAATAAAACAAACAAGCATAAAATGCTAATCGACACAAGCGATCAAAATTGACAGATACGTACCAGTGTTTATACAAGTGTTTATGCAAATTTATCCATGTGAAAATACCACACACACACACACAAACAAGCGTGCAAACACACACTCATGCACAAAATTCAAATATTTCTACATACAGATAGGTAAATGCCTACTGAAAATCG